GCAGGCCAACAGAACAGAAACTACTCAGACACAAAGCAGGTGCTTGAAGCAGAATGAGAAAGGCTGTTTCTTGGCTTGTCAGTGGTCAGCGAGCTGCCTGGAGACAGGAGGGCAGGAATTTGTCATCTGCAGAGGCTGTGGAAGATTTGCACACAACCCCTCCAGTCTACAGGCATTTGCAGAAGGGCAAGAGGGCAATGTCTAGAAGATGCAGGGTTCGGGTGACAGGAAAAATATAGAATGTACAGAGGCACAATAATCACATTACTTAACCCTGTGTTAGACTGGTTTGAAAATCCAGCAGAGTGAAAGCAATGCTAATGTTCGCACTGTCCCTCAGATCTGCTCTGGGAATTCATCTTCAGGAAGTAATGACTCCATCAGCACAGATGCTTCTGGCAGTGCTCTTTAAGAGCCTGGGGAATGGACTCTGTGGGTAACCATTGTATTGCCACCAGATGGAGTGCACAGGCGGCCTGAGCTGGGAGGGTTGCAAGTCACAGACCGTGCCTGGTACTGGCTGTCATTGTTTTGCAGCAGAGCTCCCCAGGAGGAAGGGTCCAGGCCTCATGCTTCACCTTCAGAATGTGCGCTCACATGGGTCAACCTCACAGCTTCATGGCCCCAGTGCACTGCTGTACATTGCAGGGATGTAATGGACCTTGGCTCGAGAAGTGAGAAAACACAAAAACAAAAACCCAAGCAGAACCGAAAACTGCCTGTACGTTAAATGATTACACCCTTCTCACATCACCACCAACAGGGAGATATGAAAAGCGCTAATCCCAGCTGAGTAAGCATGGCAGATTTTAGGAAATCTTACTATTTCCCATTTTCTTTCTTCTTGGTAATGTGGCTTTATTACTTTTATAATAAAAATGTGACTAGAAGATCTTGCTGAATTGCTAACATCATCTGAAGCAGATGATCACAATACTAGCTTTCGGTATTGTTTTCCCTTTTGGTCTTCTTGGACTAATTTTAAGCAATATAGGGCTATAGAAATATGAGCCCTACATTATACACTGTATTACAAATACACTATTTGCTGTGCCTGACTGGAAGCCAAGGACAGAATTCAAATGAAATAAAACCCTCAAGGGTGGGCCCAAAACAAGCCCACAAAAAGACGAAGCATGAGAAAGCATGACATCTGTGCACAGCACATGGTCATCCACTTCAGGCTCCACAAATGGCCTAGTGAGCAAAGGCAAGGGCGACTCTCAGCTGTCACCTCCATGAGTCAGCTTCTTGTCCCCCACATCCCTGGCGCTGAGGCACCATGGTGCACAGCAGAGCTTACAGTACCATGGAAGGCCTCCTGATCAACCCAGAACCCTGTACTGCTACACTAACTTATGTCTGCCATGGCTGCCTGGCAGCACAGCTGTCCTGGAAGGCATAAAACATTCACCTCACTGGACATGGTGGTGTATACCTAAAATCCCAATTCTTGGGAGGCTGAGGCAGGAAGATTGTTTGAGGCCAGCTTGGCTACACTGTGAAACCATGTCTAAAAAAAACAAAAAAGAACACACATACACACCCCTCTTTCACAACGCTCTAATTCACCATTGAAAACTCCCCAAGTTCACATCAAACACCTGACAAGAGGTGAATGAAAACGCTTTGCTCTTTTCCTGATAATAAAAAGCTACACTGTAATTTCTTTGCAATGCAGTAGTTAAAATAAGTAAAACTTCTATTTCTAATTTATCAAAAACAAGATCCATAGATTTAGAAGTCAATTCATCAACAGCCCATCATTAATCAGCTTAGCACTAAACTGACTGGGCTCAGCACAGAATTACACCACTTGAAAGCTCTCAGCATTCTCTAACCTTCTGATTTATCTGGCTGGCCACTGCCTCACAGTTACAGAAAAAGTCCTTGCACACAGTAGGTCTCCTAAGTATGTGCTATATCCAGATGAATAATCAGCAGGGTGTTGCTAGATGACCACTGCTGGAACGTGTGAGAGGGATTCCAGTGACACACAGCAGGCTTGGTGACTTGAGTGATTTTATTTGGTGGGCAAGAACACAGATGATGACACAGGGTTAACCTGAGCAGAATGCTCAGTGCCGAGGAGACTCTCGTCCAGAAGAGGGCTGAGGCAACCTGAACTTGGAGAGGTTGAGGTTCAGGTCCAAGAAGGTGTAGGTGTTGTAGTCATGGTGCTGGAGGTTCTTGTAGGTGGCACTGTCAGTCGGTGCCAGGGCCTGGTCAGGCTCTACCTGGGTGGGCTCTGCAGAGGAAGCACAGCACAGGTGAGACATGTCCTCATGCCCAGGTACCTATGCCAGTGGTCTCTACAAAGCCTGGGTGATGATGGGCTATCTAATGAGGAAATAAAAGCCCACAAGGCCATCATATCTTCAAAAGCATTAAAAATAAAAAAAGAACCCAGCCAAAAATTTATTCCAAAACATATACAGCCTTAGATTAAGAAATAGAAGGGCATGGCACATGGAGGCAAAGCTATTGCTGTACACTGTTAAACATCAGCCTTTCCCCAACCGTCACCACTGAAAACTTCCCTGAGTTTCCATCAAATGCTACTAGAGACTGTAATAAAATGGTAAAATCTTAACATTTTACTTCATATACTTCTAGGCCCTAGACCTCTCATAACTTTGAAAATACCTAGAACATTATCTAAGGACTTTCAAGTCATATAAAGATACATGGAAAAAAATTATCTTTTAGAAATCTGTCTATAATAGAAAGACCAATGTACAGAAGAAAATTTCCTAAAGCTGAAACTGGGCTGGGTGCAGTAGCTCATGCCTGTAATCTCAACTACCTGGAAGATATAGGTGAGAGGACTGTGGTGAGGCCAGCCTGGGCAAATGCACAAAAATAACTGAAGCAAAAAGGGCTGGAGGCATGTACCAAGTGGTAAGTGCCAAGCTCTGGTACCCAGCACCACCAGGAGGAAGGAAGGAGGAAGGGAGGGGGGGACGGAAGAAGGCAGGAAGGCAGGAGAAATTAGACAAGCATCTAAATTTCCAAATGCAAGAAAACTCGATAAAATCTGAGTGCTACATAAAAACTAACAACATAGTTAGGGGACTAGAAATGAGTTGTATAGCTTTCAATTTAACTTTTTTGAAAAGAATTGTCGGCATCTTCAAATTCATAGACAAAAAAATACTAATTTTTTTTTTCCAAATAAAAGAAACATGTATCTAAACATTGGGTAATCTTAAACTGAAAGTGTGGAGTTGAGGCAATAGGAATCTTGCTCTATTGCAACATACCACACAACGTGGGTACGGAAATAAAGCCAGCGTGGGTGACAGGCTGAAGTCTGGGCTCTGTATTTCTGGAAATCAGGTCCTTAGGGCTGTCTCAACATCTGTTTATGCTGCACAAAAACGACTTAAACCCATTTCACTATTCCCATCTCACTGCTTAGTTATATTCAACAATAAGAGGTGTCTCAAGAGTGGACACCCTTCCAACCTCCACAGCTGCAGCTCTTCAAAGAAGGGTGTGTTGTTACAGTGACGCAGGGTAGGCAATGACTGCAGGGAGGCGTGGGGAATAAACTCTTATCAAAAATCAGTCCTCCAGCCAGGCAAGGAGCTGTTCCTTAGGGCAGAGACAGCTTAGTGAAAACCAGCTGCACTGCACAGGCAGCCCCACCATGGGAGCAGACGCCTTGAGTGTTCTTCAGCCTTGGGGAGCAAAGGAAATATTTGACAAAAAAAAAAAAAAGTTGTTTTTTTCCTTTTTTTTGCAGTGCTGGAATTAAACTCAGGGCCTGGCTCAGGTTAAGCAAAAACCTTTACCACTAAGCTGTATCCTCAGCCCCGCAAGTTTCCTTTTTTTCAAAAAGGACTGCAGTCTAGAAATTCCAAATCCAGAGGGTTTTTGGCACCTCCCACCACTGGAGAGCAGAAGGACTGAAAACAGCAGCATCAGAAAGGCAGGTCCTGAGGTGAGCCTGGCAAGCACTGGCACTTTGCACATTAATGAAAGAGGGAGCAAACGGAAAGGGGAGAACACACACAAATCCTGTCGGCATCCTGCATCCAGTCACACAATGCATCAGGTGATGCAAACTAGGCAAGGCAGGCCTCTACATAAAGAATGAAAACCACAGACGCAGGAAAAAGGCTATGTTAGTTGTGATGCATTTTAAAGAAGTCTTAAGGAGCTGCAAGAATTCCTGTTACTGTTTCAATGTAACCCACCTAGAGGACGTCACATTGTATAAAGTTTGATGCTCAAGAAGATGTAACATGACAGAAATAGTGTTTTCTTTTTAAATCCCTTCATAAAAATTCATCATAGAAAAAAATGTGTTGTGTCTACTGAGAGTGAAAAGAACACTTAATACAGCCCACAGCTGCCTTTGAATCTCTGAATTTTCCCTTATGCATAAGGATACCAAGAGCAATTATCTAGCTGAGTTCACCTGGAGACTATCAGTCCAAGTGTAACTACAGCTCACGATCTATACAAGCTACGTAGGAGACTCCCCATTTTCACTCAGGGAGATGCTTGGCAAGTTGGTGAAATGAACTTGGAAGGTTAATGGAGGCAATGCTAAACTGCTAGTTTCCAAAAAGTATACTGGTTAAGAAAGTAGTCACGAGTGCCAAAGGCAGACTTTTTCAATTCAAAATAAATTCAGAATGTTTGGGAATTTTGTATATAAAGATGTGTATTAGCCACAATTAAGACAGACTTCTCTGCTTAGCTGGACAGTGTTACAGCCACATTTCTATTTCAGAATCTGCTTAACTGTAATGCTTCTTTCTAAACATATAGAAATTCAGTGTTCTTCAAAGAATAGCCACTCCTAAAGAATGAGAAGAGTCTGAACCCAGACAAGGTGTACCCTGTGTGTCGCCTTGGGCTTCAGCATGCTGGGCCGCGTCTTCCATATGCAGTGCTGCGCTGTCTTCCACGTGCAGTGCTGCGCCGTCTTCCATATGCAGTGCTGCGCCATCTTCCATGTGCAGTGCTGCGCTGACAGTCTCCTCAAGTCCCCCCTTCAGCGTCAGTCCTGCTGTCATTTCATCAAAGACACCCTTCTTCTCAACAGGAACCACCTTCAAGTTTCTCACTGGGACTGGATCTCCCAAGATCTCCTCCTTGGCCTTTAGTGTCCTTCTGTTACCTGCTTCCCCACATTTTCTACTCTGATCAGGGGAGAAGCTGCCTCCCATCCTGGCTCTGGCACTTTGGGATCCCCAGGATCAGAGGCTGGCAGTTGCCCCCTGGCCCTGGCCGGTTCTGTCCATGGTATAGACACCTGGCCTCCACTGAACCCTGCAGACAATCCAGTTTTTGTGTGCTCAGGTGAGATTTCTTTGACTTCAAAGAGCTTTTGGCTTTCTTTCTCTATCTCACTCAACCTGAGTATTTTCTGCAATTGTTCTTCCTTTAGATTTTGCTTCAGAACCTCTTCATCAGCTTGTGATCTGGGTGTCAGGTGTTTGGGTTTGGCCTCTGTGCTATCCTCTAGTGGTTTGGTCAGAGTCCCTTTCTTCTTTGGCTGATGGGGCTTCTCTGGGTATGTGACATTGGTGTCTGGCTTCTGTGCCCTGTTTTTCTCTTTTGCAGATATTGCGCTTTGGGGGTGTCTTTTCTTAGAGGGGTGGGCAGTCTCTCCCTTGCCTCTACTTGTCATTTGGGGACCAACTTGTGTGACACTCCCCTCCTCGTCGGACTCAGAATCAGAGGAACTGGACGTGGATGAGGATGAGGATGAATCTGAGTCAGAAGCCTGTTCTGGGAATGGAGGTGGAATTTTTTGAGGAAATTCTACCAAAGTCTTTCTTGACAAAGATTTGGGGACCCCTTCATCTGTGAGCTGTTTGCTGCCACCAGGGTGAGGGCTGGCCACCGCCCCGCCTTTATCCCCCACCGATGGGCGAGACCCAGGGGGAGGAAAGTGTTTTGCCAGTGCGGCTGCCGTGTGGGTGGGTAGAAGCTTGCCCCTCTCCTTTGGTTGCACTACATCTAGGAAATGGCATAAAAAGGAATATTATTCTTAGTATTTAATAAGATAAATTAAACTCATTAAAGTCATAAACATGTCACTGCACATCAACACATTATTCACAGTGTTTTCAGTGTGCTCAAACTAAGGCGGCTCCACGGAAGCCGCTCTCCAGTGAGCTCCATGTGCCAGGCAGCAGTAAAGAACGGAGATAGTTTCCTTTGCTGTGGGAAGTTTTAAAGAGTAACAAATCTGTCTCCATTTTTCACACCAATGGCTTCTCTGATGACAACTATTTTTAAACTAAATCATCCAAATTTAAGATAAACTATAGTAAAGATGTTTTCAGATGAATATTGAAGTTTTTACAAATATGTAATTTCTTCTATCACTAAAACGGCCTAAGTATTTGGTGCTTTTCACATATTAAAAAAGTTCAGAACTCAAGTTTTCTGAACAAAACAGCAAAAGTATAGATGAAATTCTGGTTTGGGGTACACACATATGAGTGGGAGGGGCTAAAATAGTTCAAGTAAAGTTGCACTAAAAAAGAAGAAAAGTCCTTCAAAGTTATACAAGTTACTTGGGGGAATTCTTCAGCCAAGAAAACAAAAGTTTTACAATATCAAAAAGGTCAAAAATAATATACATATCACTAGAAACAGTTTTCAAACTGTAAAAACATAGAGTAAGTTCTAATATAAAGATTTTATAATTCATATGGTCATTTATGAAAAAAATGAAAGCAAATAATGTCAATCAGATCTAATTTCATTCAATTTCCTCAAATGGTAATACATCTTATTATAACAAATCAGGAGAAAAATATAACAAGTTTTTGTAAGTTAAATTACCTTTCAAACCTAAAGCAAAACTCTGAAAATACTACAGAAGTGCAGCCTCTACATCCTTGAAAGCAGGCATCCATTTTGTACAAAAATATCTCTATCCTACTGTCTCAGGGTTTGAAGTGTTATCTGGACTCAGAAATCCATGATTAACGGATAGAACGTGATCAAAGAAAAGTGAGAAGTAACAATAAATAAGAAATGGACCAGAGAGAGGGTGATAGGTGTACAGCCAGAGGAGTAGGTAACTGTTCAAACTACCTCCAGCAATCAGGAACTGCACTCAGGTCACCAGCGCAGGTGCTGATATAGGTGCCTCCCAGCAAGCACCCCCAGCTCCAGGTCATGTTGAACAGAAAAACCCAGGAAGGCAGCAATGCACAGTTCGTCTCTCTCTCTCTCTCCCTCTCTCAACTGCAGCTGCCCGCTCAGAAACTCCTAAGAGCCATGTTTAATATCTGCTGGCCTTTACATCCTGCTGGCCCACTCATCTGTATCACTGACCCACCTTTATTTTCCAAGTATGGAGAATTAATCTAAAAATAAAGCTTAGATGGCTGCTTTAATAAGAGAAACAAGGATTAAATCTTCTAAAATTTGTTTGTTTGCAATGCTGGAGTCCAAACCCAGTGCCACATGTATGCTATGGGAGCACTTTGTCACGGAGCTACATCTCCAGCCCCTTGAGACTTTTATAATCATAATAAGTTATTAAAATCACAGCTCGGTGGTAGAACATGTGCAAGGTCTTAGGTTTAATCACCAACACACACAAAACCAAAAAAAAAAAAAAAAAAGAGGGAGGAAAACCTACACTACAGATTGATTTATTACCTCCTGAAAATGGAAAGAACATCTCAGACAATGTCAAAAGTTGGAAATCTTGTTTGAAAAGGAAACTTTATCACGTGAGTATGCAGGTTTTAAAGTTTCCTTTGCCCATGCTAGTTATGGGAAGAATTCAAGGGAGAGGTAACAGATGACAGGAATATGTTTTCCTTTTGATGGAAAGCCAGTTTTTCCCCCTCTGAGGCCCAGGCCCAGCCTCCTCTTTGTGGCTCATGGGGAAGCCTGAAGTGCTGACCTGCAGCTGTCACCAATTGCCAGTACCACATCTAAGCCCAGCATTCACACCGAGTCTGCACTTAACAGTACAGGAATGATGTCACCTATAAGATAACACTATCATACAAAGGAAAGATAGCCCTCCTCTTAAAAGAAGCACTTCACTGGAGCTGATGGAGTAGCTCAAGTGATAAGAGCACCTGCCTAGCAAGTGTGAAGCCCTGAGTTCAAACCCCAGTACTGCCAAAAAAAAAAAAAGTGTACAACAGAAGCACTTCACCGAACCACTTGTCACTTAGTGTCTAGAGACAGACATGACATCCCCTGGCAGCGTTTTAACCTGATACTGGCTCTTCTTGGACCGACACTGCAGTAGAACACAAGCTGCCTAAATCAGACTCATGCAGGCCTGTCTCCCAGCACTCCCCTGTGGGACATTCATGGGTTTTCTACTCTCTGAGACCACAGCAGCCTATGTAAAATAAAGTTCTACACACCCTAGTAAACAGTGCAGAAAATTCTCCTTAGTGTCTCCGTCTCTCCTCTCAAAACAGAACTCAAATTTCTCAAATCTCTTTTCCGCTTGGCTGAAAAGTTAGGGCATGACCTCTGGTTTTCAGCAAAAACCAAGATGACTGTGGGTTTGAGATGGAGTAGCAACCTTAAATATAGCCTCTCAATAAGTCACAAAACTAATTCAGAGACAGTGCATTTAAACATGACAAGGAAGAATAAAGTCACTCAGATTTCATAGAGTAATTATACAGCATATGACTACAAAAGGTTTTTTTTAATGAGTACATGAGAATTGAGACTTTTTTAGAGGCAAGGCAGAACAGTGATTAAAATGTGGACTGTGGGCCAAAATGCCTGGGTTCCAACCCAGACTCCCTCACCACTGCCTGTGTGATACCTTGCTTCCTCGCCTGACATGTGGGATCAGCATCCTCTCGAAGGTTTGCCTGCTGGCGCATAAGATAATACGTGGAAAGCAATCAGAACAGCACTCTGCACTGCGGCTGCAATTAAAACAGATCTCTATTTTTAGAAATTCCTCCCTTTCAAACCCGAAATAGGACTTGAAGTGGATAATTAACTTTGGCTTGTCAGCATACTCTTTAAGAAGCTATGCAAAGGGCTGAGGGTGGTTTAAGTGGTAGAGTGTCTGCCTAGTAAGTGTGAAGCCCTGAGTTCCAACTCCAGTACAGCCACAAAGAAGAAAAAAGAAAAAAAGAAGAGGAAGAAGCAAAAATTACTCAATCAGGCAAAATTTAGCCTCGTGACTGGATTCAACAAACAACAAAGCTAGAGCCAGGTGGTTCTCCAAGAGCACCCACATGACAATGTGGTGGCAGCTTTCCTTGGGAAGGAAGTGGGAAACCTCTGAAGTGGGCAGAACATGGTTCTGGTTCCTGTGGTCAGAGATGTGACTCGGGCCTCTGATCTGCGTGCAGGAAGCTTCATCTAGAGCTTCCAAAGCCACTGCTGGTGGAGAGGGGTCAAGCTGGCAACAGGATGTGGCTGCACGAAAACATTTATAACCTTACACTTTCCAATCACTGACACTTCATGGGGAAACAAGGCCTACATGCATCCATTCAGAACCATTACCCTTCTTTGTACAGCAATTGTCAATTATGGCTGAAGACAGTTTACTTCCGAAAACTATCTCCCACTCAAAACCATTCTGCCATTTATGAAGTCCATACATATAGCAAATCCCATGAGCCTCACAGAACCAAGGAAGGCAGCTCACTGGCTCTGCCATCGCTAAGGGCCCCAGGCTCAGATGCCTGCAAAGCCACCACAGCCAGAGGCAGAAGCGACATGGGAGGCCCAGGGCAACGCCCAACCCAGTTTTCTCTTCCCATGGTTGCACCCTGGGTTAACTGTCACAGGATAAAGCATGCCATTTCCATGCACAGAAAATCATGTTTCAGAAAATAGAGTTGTTGGGCTCTGCCATGATATTCTAAAATCCATTTAGTCCAAATCCATGAATCTATAAAGCAGGATTACAGATTCAAACTAAAATCCACCAAAGAAAAGGATATTGTTAGTAATGAAATTCAACAACCATTCATCATTGAACACTTAAAAGGATGCCAAAAACACGCAGGCTGCACAGCCCTGGGTGTGATTACCAGCATGCAACAAACAAAAAGCCACGCTGACATTCTTGTTGCCAGTGCTTCTTTGGTGTGATACTGGTACTGAGACAATGTTTTAAAGTGGATTCCTGGCTGGAGGTGTGGCTCAAGTAGTACAGCCTGAGTTCAAAACCCTGGTACCACTTAAAAAAAAAAAAAAAGAGTTCTTATGTTTAAGACACTTATTTTTAAAACGCATTAAGAAGAATTCCGTATTTACAAATGAGGCAGGTATATGACAGAATTAAATCATGTTCCTGTGGAATTCAGGCCTCAGCCAACAGCAGAATACCACCACAATGGTGAGTTCTAAAGCCTAGAGGACAGTGTGAAAGGCTGGGAGGCTGCAAACAGTTTTAATATCTACTAATGTTTCTGCACAAGCCATGGAAAAAACAAGCAAAAGAATCTAAATAATTTCAAATATTCAACAGAGGAAATGGTACTTTAATGAAAATAAAAACAAACTCAATTATCAGCCTAAAATCCCATTTGGGAATCAAAGACCTGCAATGAGATAGTAAGTGCTTTATGATCTATCAAGGGTAAACCCGGGTTTCATCAATTAAGACTAAATTCAGTGGACCTCGTCCATAACCAACTATCAACAATGAGCCAGGAGGAGAACATGAGGTTATTCCCACAGGAGAAACATTTACGCTATCGTGTTGCAGCTCCTGCTTTCCTGTAAGGAGGGTGTGTTACCCTGGCACTCAGGGAGGAGGGAAAAATGAGAGCTAAATGTCAAAATGGTTATGTAAAGACCTGGACCCAGATCAGACATCATGCATCCGTAGAGCATCACAGCAAAGAACTGGACCTGCTCCTAACTCCCTCTCCACAGGCTTGACACAATGCCTGCAGTTCTGGGCTATGATGAGCAAAGCCAGGAATCCACAGCCAGTTTTTGAAGAGACAGAATCAGGAAGGAGCTGGGCCTGGTGGCTCATTCTTGTAATCCTAGCTACTTGAGAGGTAGAGGTCGGGAAGATCATGGGTTGAGGCCAGCTTGGGCAAAAAGTCAGTGAGATCTCCGTATCAATCAGTAAGTCAGGTATGGTGGTACACACCTATCTCACTGTCTGAGACCAGAGACCCTATCTAAAGCAAAAAAGGGGTTGGGGGCTAGCTCAAGCAAGTGCAAGGCCTTGAGTACAAACTCCAATATCACCAAAAAAAGTACAAAAGAAAAGGAAGTAAGGCAGGTCCCATGACCTCACAGAAAGGCAGGATCCCTGGCAGGCCATGGACATGTCACAGAACCAGTGCTCACCAACTTACTCCATGATGAGTTCAATATATACATATATATATTTATTTATTTATTTATATTGATTGATTGCTGTACTGGGGCTTGAATTCAGGGCCTACACCTTGAGCCACTCCACCAGCCCTTTTTTATGTTAGGTATTTTCAAGATAAGGTCTCGTGTAATTAATTGCCCAGGGCTGGCTTCGAACCATGATCCTCCTGATCTCTGCCTCCTGAGTAGCTAGGATTACAGGTGTAAGCCACCAGGGCCCGGCTAGAGTTCGACATTTAGAAAGTACCATGGAGTCAGACTACAACAGTACTGATGTGCTTAAGTCTAATATCCGGCACCGATCTATGTCTGATTACAATGTGACCATGCAAAACTGAAGAACCATACGTTACCTAGCTAGTGAATTCATTTTCATACTTGGAAAGCTGACTGACTGATTTACCTTGTAGCCTCTGTCCCTCACAACTACCATTAAAACCTTACTTTTTGATGGGCTTTGCTTCTTGGGATTTGATGGCAGCCCCTTCTCATTCTTCCCCAACTCTGCCGAAAGAGGAACTGTAGAAGCAAGTCCTCGGAACACTCGTGCTTCCAGGAGTATAGCCTGGCAAGAGTTAACAGACATGAATATTTAGAGTTATACCATTTATTACGGCTACCACCGCATGTCTTACTACTCTGTACGAATGTTCACATGGTATACTGCCAGTGATTACAATTCTCAAAATACACACTATGAAACTTTTGTGAAATACAAAAAAAAAAAAAAAAAAAAAAAAAAGCTGCAAGAAAAAAATCCAAGTTCAAGGACAAGCACCATTAACATCTGGGCTAATGGAAGGACATTTTCCTATTCCTATGTACTCTTTTTTAGTCTTCAATTTTGTTAACCTACAAAATACTGTTTGTTTTTGCAGACGACCTTCCTTACTTACAAAACCATGTAGCAGAAATGCTACCTGCCATTAAAATTGATGTAGGTAACCAACTGCTTCAGAAGAGTTTACAGTGTAAGTGAAAACACACTCATTCACTCAGCAGGTAACCACTAAGGCCTACATGTAGCTTGGCCAGTGCCATACTCAGGAGGCAGGGACTCTGACCAAGAATGGGAAAGCAAGCCTGGGGCTGTGGCTCAGTGGTAGAGCACCTGCCTACAAAGTGTGAGGCCCTGAGTGCAAATCCCAGTTCAAATGCCATCAAAAAGAAAGAAAGTGGTAAGAATGTGAGAGCACTGGTTTATGTTTATGACTGTAAGCACGTGTAATACTGCATGCATGCTAAAAGTCGCTGGGGACAGACAAGGAGTAAGTAGCCAGCATCTGCAGTGTGTTTTCTGGCTGGCCTGTACTTGGGCTCATCTCGCAGTGCATGTTTGCTGCTTTCGGGGTTGGGGTGCAGCTCTGCGGAGGCACGCTTGCCTAGCACATATCCACGGCCTTGGCTGTGATCAAAAAGTAAAAAACGGAACAAAAACTCTGCCTTTGCAACAGCAGCCATGCCCAATTTCTAAAACAGCAAGGTGTCCTTCGCTTTTTGCAAGATGAGACAGCAGGCCCTTCCCTCAGGTCAGGCGACCTAAGTTGGCGTCGGTGGCTGATTAAGTCATCGGGTCAACCCTAAAAGTTCCTTCGTTTAACCTCTGTGTGCAACCCGTGAACATGGCCTCTGGTGCTAGCGTCTGGTTCTCGGTGAACTAAGGACTAAAGGCGATGGCCTTAAAGACGCCGTGCGGTTGGCAGAGTCCCGGACGGCACTTCGCACCCCGGGGCGCGGCGCGTCACCTAGGGGAACGAACACCCCGGGACGCTGGGCCGGTGACCCGGGGCCGGCGCAGGTGCGGCCTAGGCCCGGGCGGCGGGCGGGTGCGGGGACCGCCCTCCGGCCTGGCCTCCGTCCCCGCGGCCCCCGCACGGCTGGAGGAGGCGCCCTCACCCCGGCCCTCCGCGGGCTCCGCGCCCGCAGGCCCCTCCTTTACCTGCAGCGCCCCAGCTCGTCCACGCCGCAGCAAGAGCGAAGCCGCCATGGCGCAGACGCCACAGGCAGAGGTCGCAGGCGGGAACGTGAGCCCTGCGGCCTTGCGCCGCCCGAGGACCCGCCCCCGAGGTCGTGCTGGCCAATCACAAGCCAGAAGGGGCGGGGCGAGAGCCGAGGACCTGCGCGCACTTCCTCACTCGCCTCCCGGCTTCCCGCGGCTCCCCGAGGCCACGCCCCAGAGGCGGCACCACCAATCCCAGGCAAGGTCTCCGGGGGGCCCGCCCCCAGCAGGTGCAGATCTCGGGGGTGTGGGTCCTGCCGCGTTGCAAGGCGGCCAGCGGAGAGCCCGGGTGTGACTGGCGTTTGCACCCCTCTTCTCAGTGTCTGCGGACGGCGGCTTTGCACTTCCACCTGCCCACTTCCTCTTTGACCCTTGTCGTCTCAGCGGCACGGCCTCACAAGTCATGCCCTTGGCATTTTCACCTTACTGGATAGTTGTGTTTTATGGGTTTTTAAAGCTCCTCTGCACCGTACCTGAGTCCACACCAACCCCCTGCCTCCCTTGCCAGCTACAGCTACGTGTCGTCAGCGTGGTCTCCGCTACTCACTGCCCATCCTGCATGCCTGGGCTTTATCTGTGGCCTATGAGAACGTTAATACGAGAGTTAAGTTCAAAGTGGAAGCTGTATTTTACCTGAATGTTTATCAGGACAAACATTTTCCCTCTAAATTAGGCATTGTGGGAGATTTTCATTGCTGTGACAAAATGCCCAAGAAAACAATTTAGGAAGGAAGATTCATGTTGGCTCATGGTTTCAGAAGTTGCAGTCTATGGTTAGCGGGCTCCATTATTTTGGGTCTGAAGTGAGCTACGGCATCATGGTGGGGCGGGGGGAGCACGTGGAAGACGATGTTGCTCACCTCTTGACAGCCAGGAAGGGACAGGGGACAAACTACACCTTTCAAAGGCACACCTCCAGTGACCTATTTCCTCCTAGTAGGCCTGTCTCCTGGTAGTCAATTCAACTATGAGTTCATCAACAGATCAATTGATGCAGTTAAGAGTCTTTGTGATCCAATCACTTCTCAATAGTGCCACCAGCTGGGGACCAAGCTTTTGGCACATGAGCCTTTTGGGGGAGCACTTCATGTCCAAAGTATAACAGGCAGTTGTGGAGTAGGCATTGTCATCAGTTTCCTTCTTATCATATTGGTTACTGCTGCCCTGTCCCCTCTTCCCCACCCATGCCCAGTGCCACACAAGTATTTCACAGGAAATGAATGTGCCTCACCTCCAACTTCCACAGGCAGAGACCCTTCTAACAATTTAAGTTGATTGAAAAGGGCTGGGCCCGTGCCTATAATTTCAGAAGTGCTGCCAAAAAGAAAGAAAAGGAAGAAAGGAAGGAAGAAAGGAGGAGGGGAAGAAGGGAAGGGGAGGGAGGGAAGAAGGAATGAAGGAAAGAAGGAAGGAAGAAAGGAAGGGCAAAAAAACCTGGACATGATAGTGTATGTCTGTAATCCCAGCTACACAGGAGGTGTAAATAGGAGGATGGAGGCCAGGCCAGCCTAGCAAAAAATGTGAGACCTTCACTGAGAAAGAACTAAAGCAAAAAGTGCCAGCAGCAGGGCTCAAGTGGTAGAGTGCCTGTCTAGCAAGTGCAAGGCCCTGAGTTCAAACCCAAGTACCACCAAAAAAAAAAAAAAATCAAAAAGGAATCACTGCCTAAGCTGGAGATTCTCTCAGGTCTCAAGATAAACTGGCAGAAATAGTGCCCCAGAACCTTGTCAAGCAGAATCTAGAATGGAGAAAGTGCAACAGAACCCATCCGAGAAACCAAAGGGAACAAACTGAGATCTCAGGAGGCAGAGATCAGGAGGACCACGGTTTGAAGCCAGCCTGGGGAAACAGTTCATGAAACCCTATCTTGGAAAAACCCATCACAAAAAAAGGGCTGGTGGAGTGGCTCAAGGTGTAGGCCCTGAGTTCAAACCCAGTATCACAAACAAAACAAAACAAAACAACTAACAGAATTATCCCTTCCTCAAGACTAGACCAACTCTCTTGTCTCCAGGGTAAAGTATTTGTGAGGCATGCTGACTTTACAGGTAAAGAACAGTACTGAAGGATGAGTCACATCTGTCACTTGGGGAACATGATCCCGAATTAGAAGATCCCCACTGCCATCTTTCATGGGACCTGGAACTTCTATGTTCCACACTACCACCCTGGGCACAGCCAGCCAAAGTTAGACATCTTGTTGGAGTTGCCAGACTCCATAGGTGAGCAAAAAGAAAAGGTCTTCCCCAGTGGGGTGGTGTGATAGTGGGTATGTGCTTTGTCCGGGCAATGTGGGAGGCGATGGACCCTTTAAGAGGTGGGGCCGAGCGGGAAGTAATTAGGCTATTGGGGTGCTACCCTTGGAAGGAATTCTGCAGTTCTCATCGGAGCTTGCTTATTTTCTTGAAAGGGTTGCTTTTATGCTTTTTTCTTTTTTAAAAATCTGAGACAGGGTTTAGCTATCTCTAGCCCAGGCTGGCCTTTGAACTCAAAATTCTCCTGCCTCTGCCTCCCAGGTGCTGGGATTACAGGCATGAGCCACATTGTCCAGCTTGAAAGGGTTTCTGTAAAGAGAGTAGGCCTGGCTCCTCCTGCTATCTGGCTTCTTGTCTTACCAGATGGCACTCCTCTTCTACCATGACACCATCCACCATGAGGTAAAACAAGAAAGGGGCCCTTGCAAGAACCTGCACCAAGCTGTTTGGGTTTGGGGACTAAAATCTGAGCTAAACAAACTCATTTTCTTTATAAGTTACCTAGCCACAAGTGTTTTGTTATAGCTACAGAAAATGGTAGGGATTGCGTATAGTTGAGAGGGAAACCTGGGAGTAGTCAACAGAGCGAGCAGTGAGAGGCTGTTTGGATAGTGTTTGAAGAGGGAACAGCATTGTGACAGAGAAGGTAACTATGACAACAATGTGTAAGACCAAAGACTAGCAGGAGTAGGACACACCAGAAAGCCAGTGCAGCACTGTGGGGAGGCCAGAGTGGGGCCTAAACAGCATTTGTCCAAAGACCAAAGAAGGGACAGCGCCAAGTGGTGCAAGGGGCAAATTTAAAGTGCTGCTGCCAAAAAAAAAAAGAGGCCAGAGAATGGGCGCGTAGATTCTTGAGTACTTGTGGAAAGGAGATGATGTCATGTGTTCCAGCCAGCAAAAAGCTTTAGACCAGAGTGTGCTGGCAGCAGAGGCAGCTCCTGCGATCGTTAGCTCTCCACCCAAGGCTCCTGCAGACCCCAACCTGTCTCCTTGGAACCCGAGTAAGCAGTGACCCGGCATTTAAACAACAACAACAAAAATCGTGTTCTTTCCTTCATAAATCACATAGTTCTGTGTAAACACCAGAAGTCATTCTAGTGTGAGTTAAATGTCTTTGTGGATAACTGGATAAGTGGGATATCACTTGGGGCCACACCCTAAACATTTAATTGTAAGGGTTTGGGCCAACGAGGAACGTGAAAACCTCAGGTGTCCTGTGTCTGAGCACGCCCTACCTCTTCTGCACTCTGCTCGCAAACATGCATTTGATTTAAGCCCAATGTATTATGTAAAATAAAATTTAACTGTACATCTTAAATTAAGGGGTGTGTGTGTGTGTGTGTGTGTGTGTGTGTGTGGTACCAGGGCTTAGGCTCAGAACCTACACCTTGAGCCACCAACCAGCCCTTTTTTTGTGGTGGGTATTTCAAGATAGGCTTTGAATTGTGATCCTCCTGATCTCTGCCTCCTGACTAGCTAGGATTACAGGCGTGAGCCACCAGCGCCAGCATAAATTAAGATCTTTTAAAAGCTTCTGATGATACTGTGGCTTTAAGATATCACCTAGGATGACCATATGTAGTATGCCTAACTAGATTCATAAGATATATTTTTAAATAAAGGAGAATAAAAATGGGTGATTCATCAAACTGGGGAAGTAAATTTAAATGATTTTTTTTGGCCAAGATAAAATAAAGAAGTTAACATCAATGTTCCTAAAACTGTGATTTTAAAATACATATAATAATGTCTGCTTCTGGCATTATTTGATCATCAAATATATGGGAAACCTTTGGGCTCCAAAACATGTAATAACTCTGGGTAAAATATTATTGGACATAGGTCATACTACCTTGCAAGAAAGTAGACCATATCGCAGGAACCCCAAAACAGAGAAGAAGCAAGAAGTCACGGCCGCCCTGGGAGTGTCATGTATCTCTGTAAGACAAAGCCTTGGTGTCACAGACCCCAGCAAGCAGATGAGAGTCCTTGCATCTGGAAACACTTGGAAGTGAGCTGGGAACTGCAGGTAGCTGCAACCCTATGTGCTTTAGTGACAGGTGACTCTGGGCAAAGGCACCTGCTAGCAAACAAGTGTGTATAGCTCAGCCGTGTGTAGAAAATGTCTGAAGACCTGTTGTCACTTAATTTTGAGGTTACACACACACACACACACACACACACACACAGTGGTCCCAAACTATGAAAAAAAAGATCAGACTAGAACTAAAGAGTCACACTCAGAAATGCCCTGCAGACATGAATGGAAAAATCCACCTTCAATTCAGGCCTTGGAATTTCCACAGATAAGAACCCAGGAAATACATGAATTTTAAGTGCAACGTTTCCTAGCACACAGGAGAGAGGCAACCATGACCAAGAGCCAGAAGAAGTCTCACAAACATAAATGGGCCTATCAAAATAGCCAATAAAGAATGTAAAGTAAGTTTGTTTAAAGTGATTAAATATGTGGAAATAAAAAGCACAAATATTGAGGGACTATTAAAAAATCAGAGAGATCTGGGAAAAAACCAAGGAGATACTACTCTAGAAATGAAAAATGTGCCATTGAAATGCACAAATCCTAGGACGATTAAAGGACAACCTGACACAGTGGGAAGAGGTGCAGCTGATGCACCTGGATGCATCAGGAGGAAGTCACTGGACAGAAGCACAGAGTTGCAACCAGGTTCAGTGTGAAGAAACCTTTATACACCTTATTTACCATGATGATCAAGTTTTCCATGATTTGACCCATGTAACGCAGTTCTGCAAGAAGCAGGACAATGAGATGGGTGCACAGATAACATACATACA